ATCAGAGAGAGCTGAGCAGTCTCCAGCCACTGTCCAAGCAGCCTGAGCGTCACCAGTGCGGGGAGCAGGGGCACGTGTGAGGGGTCTTCACCGAGCTGCCAGCAACCCCTCAAATCTCCTCCGAGGTTCTGCCCATGTGAGGGAAGCCATCTTAGACCCCACAGACATGCCCATTCATTAACCGATGACCACTGTCGGAACTCAGTTGAAACACACAGCAGAGAAGGAAATGCAAGCTGCAAACAACAGCAGGGCGCAGGGGGAAACCGACTAAAGCTTTTGCAAGAACACAAAAGCAGACACAAGTGTTGCCTTCCATGTCATTGTGTCCCAGCAAGGACACTGGGATGTGAGCGCACAAAGCTAAGCTTTCCAGGGACAGCCTCAGGTCATGAAGCACAGTTCAGCTCTGGCCAAGCTTGTCTAAGGTGGAGCAGGGCAGGCTTTTAGTGAAGGCAAGATGGCAGTCGCTTTCCAGAATATGTGTCTTTCTGTTCCTGATTGCTCTGTAAGATGGCCCCCAGGAGTGGAGACACAGCACACTGCTCAGAAAGGGGGGAGAGGTGTAGGTAAGACGTGGAGGAAATGCCTTCCTCATAGGAAGACAGGCAGAAGAGAAACGTCCTTTGGGGTCCGAGGAAAATGGAGAGAGAGGTGCCAGATGAAAGAGGTACATGGACCTAATCTGCGTTCCAAAGCTAAAAGCCAAGCAGAAAAGAATTTTGATTTTTTTCTTTTTTAAGAGGTTGAGAGCAGAACTTTTGTCCATTACAAATGGGTCTGTACAGGAACCCGCCTTGGGCACCCGAGGCGCTCTTAGTAGGGTGGGGATGGCGGAAAGGGAAGGCAATAATGATGCGATGCATCGGCAAAAGGGGCGCTAGGTTTCAGAGGACTGCTGGTCTCACTGCCACGTCAGCAGAGAGTGTGTGGATCTTCCCCTGTGCTTCCTGGGAAGGACGGAGGCAAACCGAGGGCTGGGCCGAGGCTGCCACGGTGAAAGGGGTTAACCCAGCTGAGGCCAAAGCTGGGAAGGAATGGAGCAGCCAGAGAAGCTCCGCTCTCTGGTGCTCCAGCTTTCTTGATGTTCCCAATACTCCCACAGTCCAGCAACAGATGGGGCCGTGTCCGGTTAGGTTGTTCGAGCTGGGTCCCCCACTGTATGCTGTTTGGCTATCACCTGGACATTCTGAACCAGAGGGGGAAAAAGTTTGTCCAAATGCAGAGGACGGGTGCTCAGTGAGCAGCACAGAGGACAAACTGGCCAGCATTGGCTGTCGCATACCTTAGGCATGAGGCTGTGTTTTTCCCCAGCCCCGCATCCCAGTAGCAGTGACTTTGTGACCAGGAAGCTATGCACACGGCTCTGAGGAAGCCTGAGTAACCCAGGCCAGCACACACACGACACTGCCTGCCATGCTTTGGGAATGCATCCTAGACGAGGCTACGAGGGACAGAGGAGAGGCCAGAGTGAGCACCCACCCAACGGAATCTGGTGAGCCCAAGAGGAATGGGTGTGAGTATCTGAGACAGACACAGTGCTCAGCAGCAGGCTGGAGTTCCCTGCCTGTGGAAGGAGGGCTCGGGAACCAAGTGAGAGCCTCCTTACAGCGTGAATAAAGGCACATGGGGGAGATCATTTGCAGTGATATAAAGTTTTTCTTTATATGGCTGTTAAGATGCCAGGACAGACAGGACTTTTCTTTAGATGCTTTAAAAGATTACATCCCACTCTCCAGAAATTGTGCCCACCTAGAATGGCCTCTGGTGTCAGAGTCACCAAGGCCAACAGCTAAAATGTCCTTTCGTCTGAGGGTCGCCAGCTGTCCTGATGACTATCCGTGAGGAAAATAAAGGTCAGCCATGAGCACACAATCTCCCCACACACTTGGATTCCAAGAACTTTTTCTCTATACTGTGTTGGAAAATCCCTTGACATGAGAAAAGGCAGTCACCCCAAACTCACTGTGTTCTCAGGGGCTCCCCAAACTCTTTGTTCTGCCCAAAGAGCTACGTTCCCTTCCTACACTGCACCCTCTGGCTTCTCTCCGCCTGCTCCTGTAGTGAGAACACCCCTAGAAAGCTTGCAATCTGAAATCCTGTGTCCAGGGCTTCCCCCGCAGCCACTCCAGCTGGCATCACTGAGCGCTTGGACATGTCGATACAGCGTACCCGGGTCATCGGCAGCGGACACTGCCTTACTGTGGGATACACAGGTACTTTCTTCTCTCTGCATCCTTGAACTTAAGCCTAGCACACCACTGGGGGAAACACTTGGCTTTCCAGCCCGCCTCAGTTTATGGTTGGTGTTCTCTGTTCCAGTCCTCTACTCTCTGGCCAGAGTAAATATTGAGTTTTTGTGAATGCTGCCAGCAGAACGCAGCTGGTCCCCCGACATGAGAGGTCTAAGGGCCAGCTGCTGACCCACATTTGTTCCTGCTCTGCTGCTCTGTCTGCTTCAGTAGGCATGAGTGCAGACACAAGGACTTACAGGACTAGGAAGTTCCCAAACGATGCTGAAGCCGCTGGCCCAGGCACTACACTCTGAAAACCACTTCCTTAGGACACAGAGGAAGTTTCAGGTCCTGTATATCCTGTAGCTAGCCTGTGGTCTATTACACACAGAGAGAGAGACAGACAGACAGACAGACAGAAACAGAGAGAGACAGGCAGTCAGGCAAAGGCAGAGACAGAGAGACAGACAGAGAGAAAGACACAGGGAGAGACAGAAAGAAACAGAGACAGAGAGAGGGAGAGACAGAGAGAGAATGAACGTCAAAACAATATTAGGTGAGCAGTTGTTCTCTGTAAATCCTGTTTTGAAAATAGCCTGGGAGGCCAAGAGAGGCTCTGAGGTATCGTCCAGGTGATCACAGGAGCAATAAGTGGCTGGTGCTATGTTAAGGGACAGGGAGTTGGAGGTTGTAGGCACTGCCTCATCGGACCTTGGATTAGTGCATACATGAGCCAAAGAGAGAGGTTTGCCTTCTATTGCCCTGAAACCAGTAACAGTGCAGGCGCAGCCGCTGTAGGCCCAGCGTCTGGGCTCTGTTTAGATGGTTTCCCTGTGCTCAGTCCTTCCTGATTCAAGCTAAGGGTCCTTTGGCCTATGTTCCTTTTCTGAGCCTTCTTCCAAGGTTAAGTGACAGTTATGATTAGACCACTGAAGTCCCTGCTTTTTATCAGCTGAAGGCCAGGTCCCCAAAGCCAAATATCTAGCCTTCTGCCCCTCTTAAGGCCAACAGACCATCTGATGCTGCTTCGGATCTCTGACCCGCTTATGAAGAAGGAGGCTCTGACATGAGATCCCCAACCTGCTCTTTCTTCTGTTTAGCTAACTGCGCCCATGAAGTGCCTCCACCTGGCTATATAAGGCAGTACAAACCTTGTCTGTGAGAACCCATCTGCCCCTACATCCCGGCCTCGCTCAATAGAGGGGATTTAGATAAGGCATGAGTCAGCCGGTCTCCTTCTGCAGTTCTGCCTGTTACACACGTGTGAAACATCCGGTGACTACGACCTCTCCGACATCCGAGACCCACCCAATGCTTTACATTACTTTTTCCTCGCTCTCAAGTAAGGTCTTTTCCAGATTCTTTAAGGCTGGTTACTCACAGCGCGATCACCACTTGTGAGGAATGCAGGTGCCCTGCATCAGCCTCCAGGAGAAAGAATATCACCCACGTGTTTACCAGACTCCTGAGATACAAGAAACAGTGACCTCAGAGTTCCTTGTCCCTAGATAACGCCCTCCCTCCTGAGCTCACTAATGAGCATGACCCGCCTCTCATTCCCAAGAAAACAGTCCTGCGTGGGTGATGCCAGCCCACCCACACCTCCTGGACCTGAAAATCTGTGTGGGCAGATCTGATACAGGCAAAGTCTGAGGACCTGGTAAACACCGGGCTGCCATGGTGGAGCGCCTTCTCGTGGACCGCTCCAGGAAAAGGCCGCCCGAGGCAGCAGAACCTCAGCCCTGCTGGAGGCTGGCTCTGCTCTCCTGCAGCCTGGGAGGAGGGGAATGATCACGTGATCGCTGCATTCTAAGTGTCACACAGTTGGAATTGGAGCTGAGCCGGGAGTGAGGCTGCTGGAGCGAGCCCAGGTCAAGCCGCAGCGCGTGGGATGGAGGGCTCACCCCCACAGAACCCCCAGACCTGGGAAAACCAAAGAAGCTGGGAGAAGGAAAAGCATGCACTGAGGCCCCGGAAGACATTCTTCCTCTGGGAAGACATTCCTCCTCTGGGAAGGCATTCTCCGAACTTACGCCTGTAGGAACAAGACATTGCTCCCAGACAGCAAGCCTCCTGGACAGGCAGAGCTGAAGAGCTCCAGAGGTGATAAGGAGTGCAGAGGGGATCCAGCAAGCAGAGCCCAGGCAGGACTGGCCGGGATAGGTCAGCCCTCTGTCTCTATCTACTCAGCAGGAAACCCGAAAAGAAGTTCCAGCCAAGAGCACCCTGTGTGAGGAGGCTGAAGTGAGGGACTGATAACACTGAGGCTCAGAGGAAAAAAAGGCTCCAAAAGGGAGGAGAAACTCTAAATAGCAAGGGGAAAGCAGCAGACCGTTTATCTAATACCTGTGTGTGCCAGGCCTGTGCCAGAGCGCTACTCAGCCAGCCTGGGAGCTGTGTGTTCTGAGAGGCTTCAGGCGTGCTGAATCACCACACATTACATCAGGGAGCGACCTGGGAGCCTTCCGAAGAAGTGCGCTGCCCCCGGCCCACATGCTCAGCCTCCCAGGCCATCCCCTCCTTCAGGTGGAACTGCAGACTTCCCTCAGAACGCCTCCGACCCAGTGCCCCTTTTCAAAACAGAGAAACCCAAGGGGGAGAGGGCCAAGGAGTGCTTAGAGTGACCCGCACAGAGGTGTGGACAGTCACTGAGAAGGCTTGCCCACAGGAGGTCAAGAGGAGCCTGGCGAGTAGCCTGGGGTCCCATGGAAGATGAGCTGCCCTTCTGACGCCCTGGTGTCCTTCCCGGCCTCCCCAGCTTCTCACCTGGAGCTCTGCATTCTTGCACCTCGCTGCATCCTGCCTGGGGAAGGCTGCAGGCCACTTTCACCTTCTATGTTGTCTCAGCAGCCCCCACAGGGATTTATAGGCTCCTGCCTGCTGGGATTTCCTAACTGCTGTGTCACACACGCTAACTGGGTGGTGGTGGACACACCTTTTCCCTCTTCACAGGGAGCACCCGGCTCGTGGGGCTGTGTGCGTACATACTTGCCAGATGGGGAAGTGGCCTAGGAAACTCTGAGTTTCGTGTGTGTGTGTGTGTGTGTGTGTGTGTGTGTGTGTGTGTGTGTGTGACTTGCTAAACTGACATGCTTCCAGCTGAAAATACATTTTAAAGTGATGCCGGTTGTATATCAAAAAGTTGTAGTCAGGTTCACAGGTGGGATTCCACCCCAACGGCTGGGTGCTGATTGAAACCCAACCATGGCCCCATTAAAGAGAAAAGGAGGTTTTTAATGAATGAGAGGGCAGTCACCACTCCTACCTGAAAGGACTCCTCTTGGCTCTAAGGAGGGTTATGGGCTTGTTTTAGGGGCTTTGATTTGGCTTTTTGTTTTTTTAGTTTTGTGTTTGTTTTGTTTTTATCCTTCTATGAATTGTTTCCAAGACAGGCAATATAAAGGGTTGATGTTCTAATTCTTTCTTTCCAGTTTATGGAATTGCTCTAATAGTAGCTTCTGTTCTTATAGAAATGTCTCATTGACTCCCCCAAAGGTCCCAAAGATGTTGTCACTTTCTCCTTCTTGTTCACAGGTCACCTTTACGTGGTGAGAGCTGCAGATCTCTCAGATCTCACAAGATCTCAGAGGCACCCATGGTCTATCATTGGCTGCTGGGGAGGGAGCAGCGTGGGACACAGCGAGGCCATGGCTCTGGCACAAGCGCCAGGTTGTGACCCCTGCTAGTCTTCCAGGTCTGTGCAGTCCCAGTGGACCCTGCTGCATAGATGCTGGGCACTGCCACACAGCACAGGCAGATTTATGTAAAGACCCGCTACTGGGAGATGGAAAATGATGCTTTTCAAAATGCACTTTAAAACTCAACACTGCAAAAAATAATCACAAACATTGATATCAACGTGGAAGGAACCAACAACCCAGATTATAAACTCTGATGATATTTTCTACCCTGTTTATATCAGCTCTTCATAGTCCTACAGGTGAAAGGGGAGGCAAAAAACATTTAAAAAATATTAAGACTTTCATAACCACAACAAAAGCCTCGGGGTCAGTGTTGGAGACATGGCCCAGCAGTTAGGGATGCATTTGGCTCTATAGAGGTCCCAAGTTCAGTTCCCAGCACCCACGTCAAAGCGGCTCGCAACTGCTGGGACCCCAGCCCCAGGGATCTCGACTCTGAGAACACTGCATTCGCGTGCACTTAACTCCACGTAGATACATGCCTACATGGAAGTTTAACAAATGAAACAAGTCTCAAAGTCAAGTTAAAACTGGCAGCCTTTGGAAAACAAAGAAGGCTAATCTTAGAATTCAAATTTCAGAATAAGTAAATAGTATCTAACAAAAACAAAATGTGAGAATGAGACGGAAACTCGGACCTAATCAGACTGATGCTCAGGTTGAAACAGATCAAACTGGAGTCCAGAGGTTTGGGGGGCCACGTTTGAGTTAACTATGCTAATTTAATCATGTACATCATTTCATCATGGGTGTCTTAGCTACACTCTCTATTACTGTGATAAAACTCCATAACCAAAAGCAACTTGGGGAGGAAATGGTTTATTTCATCTTCTAACTCTTAGGTCACAATCCATCATTGAGGGAAGTCAGGACAGAAACATAGAAGCAGGAACTGAAACAGAGGTCTTAAAGCTCCATCCCCACGGCTCACTCAGCCTGTCTCCTGATACTTTCTAGTGCCACCTACCCAGGGATGGCACAACCCACAAGTGTCTGGGCCCTCCCACACCAATCATTAGTCAAGAAAATACCTCACAGCCTTGCCTCCAGGCCAATCTTACAGAAGCATTTTATCAATTAAGATTTCCTCTTCCTTGATATGTCTAGGTCTGTGTGAGTTGACAAAATTCAACAATCACATTGGGTAATGGTCTTATGAGGCTATTCCTACCCCAAAATGAGGTTGTAGAACAAAGGGTAAGTGTTAAATTATATCCATGTTTATTCTTTTCCCAGTACTCCTGAAGGTAGACTATTTGCTTTTGTTTTTTAATTCTGACATGGTAAGGTTAAAGAGTAAGCTATAAATATCAAGTCAAATTAGTACCAAAGGCAGAAATTCACCCCAACAGAAAGGTCTCACCATGCCAACATACAGGCCAGCCCTTTACTCTGACGTAGTGTCTATCTTTGCTGCAGAGGTGTGTTTCTTAAATGCAGCAGAGTGTCAGATCCTGTTTCTGCAACCATTCTGTTAGTCTGTGTCTTCTTGTTGGAGAGTTGAGTCTACTGATGTTGCTAGATAATAGTGACAATGAATGTTAGTTCCTTTTATTGTGGAGTTGGTGGTGACTGTGTGTTTGTGTATCCCTCACGTGCGCCATTCCAGCTGATCTGCCTAATTTAGGATCCCAGTCACTCAATAACAAAGGCAACACACGGCTTAAAGTGGCTCAGAGGAGAAGCAAGATCGTGCAGATGCCTTGGTCTGCGTGCAAGAGGAACTTCAAACCTTGTGATCTATAAAGAGGAATTTACTCAATCTCACTTTCTGTCAATGGAAAAACTTACTGTGCTGGTTGGTTATTGTTGACTTGACACAGACCAAGACATATATCAAAAAAAAAAAAAAGATTTTTTTTTTAATTGAAAGAAATGTCTCCATCAGATTGTCCCATTGTCCCATTTCTGCCTCATGGACGACAGGCCTGCACACAGCATCTGTTTCTCATTTGACAGACTTGTCTAAGTCTGTGGAAAATTTTCTTGATTACTGATTGAGATGGGAGGGCCCATCACACCCCAGAGGGTGGTCCTGGGTAGAATAAGAATACAGACAGAGCAATCCTAAAAGACCAAACTGGAAAGCAGCACCCCTCCATAATATCTGCTCCAGTTCCTGTCCTCAGATTCCTGCCCCTGAGTTCCATTCATGGAGAACTGAAAACTGTAATTTGAAATAAACTCTTTCCTCCCCAAGTTGCCTTTGATCATGGTTTTTATCATAGCTTAGAAAGTTAACTAAGACAATCATAGAACCTAATAATCCTTACAAGTACTAATGCCCAAGTCCTGCTTTGTGAATGCCAGTAATCCCAGTGACTTGGGAGACAGAGGCAGGTGGATCTCTGTGAGTTCAAGGCCAGGCTGGTAAGAGGAAGAAGAAGAAGAAGAAAAAGAAGAAGAAGAAGAAGAAGAAGAAGAAGAAGAAGAAGAAGAAGAAGAAGAAGAAGAAGAAAAAGAAGAAGAAGAAGAAGAAGAAGAACAACAACAACAACAACAACAACAACAACAACAACAACAACAGCAACAACAACAACAAGCTAAGAAACAATGACTGCTTCTCCTGTATCCCTCCATCTTCCATTCATGGTCCTACCAGCGATAGAATGTTCGGATCAGCTTCCCCACCTGCTGATGGGAAATGAACACAGGCATCTCAAGATCCCCTGAGGTTCCAGATGCACTGTACCCGAGATGCTGTCCAAAGTCTGAAGCAGAGACCCCTCCTTGTTAGACCCAGAGAAGTTTTCCCTACTTGACTTGGGTTTAGAAATCAGTACCCACCCCTGGAAGCCTGTGACAAGGTCCTTTCTGTGATGCGCAGGCCAGAGGGTAGAGGAAGGTGAGCTGGAAGATAGCCTGTGTGGGCCACTAATGGCATGAACTTGTCCCCAGTTTGAGGGGACAATGTTAACCCCGAATACCCTGGCATATTGTCCTCACCATTCATTTGTTCTTATCAGATCCAAGTTCTGTAGTTTTGATGGAAGAAAATCTGGCCATCAAACACCTAGGATAAAAGTCAGGGATGTATTGTACGGTAAAGAACCCTAAGCCCTACTCTGGTCAGCTGGGCAACAGAAAAACGCTATATCGTTTTCATAGAGACATGAGAAAAGCAATTCCTCCTCATAAGTTCTTCACAAATTGAGGACAGGAGAAGAAAACATGGGCTTCAGGCTCCTGTTTTGGGGGAAAATCAGATGAAGGTGGGGGCTGGGGCAATGAGATCAGTGTTGACTCCCTGTTACTACATCGCCATGAAGGTCAGAGGTCTGCATGGGTATCAGTGGACCAACATGAACTGTGGTCAACACCGGGTCCCGGCACCACAGGGCAGCATCCATGCCTGGTCCTTGTCCAGCCTCTGTGGCGTTTTTCTGCCTCATGGACGATAGGCCTGCCCACAGCATCTCTTTCTCCTCTAACCATCTGACCATTCTCCCTTAAACACCAAATCCGAGCTTGTCTCCTCACCTGGAAATCCTTCATTTATCTACTTTAATGAAGCCCCTTTCTCCACATTAGCTAGCATGTTCCCAGCTTCCAAAGACTCAGAGGCAGGCATCTTTTGGCTACCATGGGTTCAACGCCTCCTTCCGGTGTTCACAATCTGTGCTTTATGCCTCTAAACAGAAGCATGAGAAGGTGGTTCCCACAGGTTTGTCCATACATGCTTGGAGTCCTCGTGCTCAGAGGCTGAGTCCCAGAGTTTAAGGCCAGTCCACCCAGCATAAGACAGTTTCTCTTAACAACAACGCTAACATGGCAATCCCACAATTCTTTTCATACCCCGGTTAACGCTGAGCAGAAACTGGAAACAAAATACAAGCGGAGCCTTGGCGATTCCCAGGGCATCTAACTCTGCTGTTCAACTCCAAAAAAATCCAGTGCTCACTGTGGAAGGATTTGTTGTTTGTTTGTTGTTTTTTGGGACAAAGTTTCTCTGTGTAGCATAGAGTCATTCTGTAGAGCAAACTTAGAGATCTGCCTGCCTCTATCTCCCCAGTGCTGAGATCAAAGGCGTGCACCACTGCGCCTGGCTTGCGGAAGGATTTCTTTTTATTTTCTTGCTCCTGTCTTTTTAATTCCCACCTTAGGTTTCTAGGCAATCTGG